CCAGCCAGCTGAGAACTAGCAAACTCTGGGCACCAGTGGGACCCCCCTTGGAGGGAGCTGGGCCCCTCCAGCTGCCAAATGTGAGAGCTCAGCCCTGACCCTGTGGGTCCCATCCTGCACAGGGGATGCCTGGAGCCATGTGTGGGGTGAAGGGGCTGGGCTGGGATCAGGGGGGAGCAGAGGAGGGATGGAGCTGTGCTGATGGCGGCTTGGCTGGTCCTGCGTCCTTCCTCCTCCTCATAGTAGGGTCTCTCTATGTGTGAGGTGTCCCCAGCTGACCCATGTCCCCCCTCTCTCTCTCTCTCCAGGCTGTTCCTCTAAGTCATTCAAGCTGTACTCGCCAAAGGAGCCCCCGAACGGCAACGCCTTCCCCCCCTTCCACCCGGGCACCATGCTGGATCGAGATGTGGGGTGAGCTGGGGCCTGGGGAGGGGTCTGCGAGGTTGGGAGTTCTCTGCAGTCCGCACCCAAGGGTCTCTCTGTTGGGCTCCCCAGCAGCATATGGAGACTGCGGCACACGGAGTTGAGTTAGCACAAGGGGAGAAGGAGGATCGGAGCAGAGGCAGGGGGGGGAAGGGGGGCATTTTGGCAGAAAAGCGTGGCGGGCCCAGGCCCCGGGGATGACCCAGGACAGGGACCGCTCCCAGCTCCTGCCAAACCAGCCCCTTCTCCAACCTCTGTCCTGCCTGGCACCAGCTCCAGCTGCAGAGGAGCCAGGCACATCCCTGGAGAGCTGCTGTGGCGGGCAGGGAAGGAGATGCCCACCAGCACTGACCTGCCTGCATCTCTTTCCCCCCACCAGACCTACTCCCATGTACCCACCGACGTACCTGGAGCCTGGAATTGGGTAAGCGCAGGGGGCTGGTGGGGACCTTGCTGGGAGGGGAGCTCGTGCCCGCGGTGGGGATGCCTTGGCAGGGCTGGCATACTGCTGGCTGGGGTTTGGGGGGGGAGGTATTTGGATTGTGCCCGGCCTTGGAGGGGCTGTGCATCCCCCACAGCAGGCTCGGGACCCTCCCCACCCCATGGGTGCCTCCCCCTCTGACTGCTTGCTCTGCTCCCTGGGCAGGAGGCACACGCCGTACGGGAACCAGACCGACTACAGGATATTTGAGCTCAACAAGCGGCTGCAGAACTGGACAGAGGTGGGGAGCTGGGGGAGCGAGGGGTGGCCAGGGGTGGGGGGACACTCCCAGGTGTGCCTGTTGGGGATGGGGTCCTCTGCACTGCCTGCCCTCGCGGGCTGCCTTGGCTCTAGGCAGCGGGGTCCTGTCCTGCTGTGCAGGTCCCCAAGCATCTTGTCCCTCGCTTGGCCGTGGGACGGGGTTCATCATCCCCATCTCTGAGAATGCACCCCTCTGCAGGCTGAGCACATGGCTGCTGTGCCTGGCCACCAGCGTCTGTCTGTCTGTCTGTCTGTCTGTCTGTCTGTCTCCGCTCCCCGTAACCTGGCATCTCTCTGCTGTCCCCAGGAATGTGACAATCTGTGGTGGGATGCCTTCACCACAGAGTTCTTCGAGGATGACGCCATGTTAACAATCACTTTCTGCTTGGAGGATGGACCAAAGAGATACAGTGAGTAGCAGTTTGAGCCCTCCTTGCCCAGGGCATTCCACTCCAGTGGGAGATGCGGGGGGGATGTGGGCAGGGTGTCAGGACTGGGGGGACCCTCTCCATGTGCAGCCCCAAGGCGTGTCTGTGCGAACCAGGTTCACTGACGTTATTTTCCTCCTTCTCCCGCTCCAGCGATCGGCCGGACTCTGATTCCCCGTTACTTCCGCAGCATCTTTGAAGGGGGAGCTACAGAGCTCTACTACGTGCTCAAGCACCCCAAGGAGTCCTTCCACAACAACTTTGTCTCGCTGGACTGTGACCAGTGCACCATGGTCACCCAGCACGGCAAGCCCATGTTCACCCAGGTACTGTCTGCACCCGTGGCTTCTCCTGCCCCTCGTGCCTTGGTCCGGTGTGCCCTTGCAGCGCCTGCAGTCCCACGGCGGGAGGGATGCTGATTTCCATGGCTTGTTGAGTACCACACTGTAATTCCATATGCCCCAGCTAGCCCTGCAGCATCCCCTTTTGCAGAGATCCCCTGGCCGTTGTGGGTTTGGCTTGTGCAAAGTCTCATAGCAGTCAGGGACAGGTCACCGGGAGGGTGTCCCAGGGTGCAGCAGTGGGTTCCCAGGGGATCTGGGAAGTGGGGGCAGCCTGTGCCTGACCCTGTGCCCTGCCCAGGTGTGCGTGGAGGGGCGGCTCTATCTGGAGTTCATGTTCGACGACATGATGAGGATAAAGACGTGGCATTTCAGCATCCGCCAGCATCGAGAGCTCATCCCCCGCAGCATCCTTGCCATGCATGTGAGTACCGCTCCGGTAGCTCCCCTGGGGCATGAGTGACACAGGGCTGCTGAGCTCCTCTCCCTGCTGTGCAGGTTGGGGGGGACCTCAACCCTGTCCCCCCATCGCAGGCTAGGGTACAGGAGGTCCATCCCCAGCCTGGATGCAGCTGAGCCATCTGTCCCTCTCGCTTCTAGGCACAGGACCCCCAGATGCTGGACCAGTTATCCAAGAACATCACCCGCTGTGGGCTCTCAAACTCCACACTCAACTACCTCCGAGTAAGCTTGTGGGAAGAGCAGGGGACACAGCTTGGCCATGTCTTGTGCTCTCAGCTGCACAACGCCTGGCTGCCCTGGGGTGCGGGGAGGCAGCGGGGCCGGCTCTGCAAGAGGGATCCTGCAGACGGGCTGCAGAGAGCTGTGGGGCAGTGGGTCCGCTGGAGCCCGCAGGCTCCCAGTGCGACTCGGGTCGGTGCAGCGCAGACGGCTGCACGGCAGAGGGGCTTTTGCTGGGGCCTGGAGCGTCACAGTCTAACCTTGCGTCTGTCTTCTCCCTGCAGCTCTGTGTAATCCTAGAACCAATGCAGGAGCTCATGTCACGACACAAGACCTATAGCCTCAGTCCCCGGGACTGCCTCAAGACTTGCCTCTTCCAGAAGTGGCAGCGGATGGTCGCTCCACCTGGTGAGTCT